CAGTAGAATGCCATGGTGTCACACAGCTCACAGCAACCCCCAGCTCCTGGGCTTAGGTGATTCTCTTGCCTCAGCCTCCTGAGTAGCTGGGACTACAGGCGCCTGCCATAAGGCCCAGCTATTTTTTTGTTGGAATTTGGCCGGGGCTAGGTTTGAACCCGCCACCATTGGTATATGGGGTTGGTGCCCTACTCACTGAGCCACAGGTACCACCCCTCATCTGTTGTTTCATTTCAATGATTTTACTCTCTTTTTTTTTTTTTCTTTTTTAAGAGACAAAGTCTTGCTCTGTCACCCAGGCTGGAGTATAGTGGGATGATCACAGCTCACTGTGCCTTAAACTCCTGGCCTCAAGTGATTCTCCCAGCTCAGTGATTCTCACCTGGCTCAGTGATTCTACTTTTTAATTTATTGACTTTTCTGCTTCAGATCTGTCTGGGTTTTTGTTCTATTGTTCTGTTGATTTGTAGAGTCTATTTTTTGGTCTTTGTGAATAAATGTTTATTGTTTTAAAGTCTTTTTTAGATTGTGCTATCATGGCTAATTTATGATGCATGCATTCTCCCTTTTGTATTTTTGCTGTCTCTTACAGCAGATTACGTCTTGTTTTGTAATTTTTAGTCTTTGAGCTCACTAGGGGGATCATCTTTTCTGATAGATTCTCACTCTATTGGCTGGCTTCTGGAGGCATCCTTATAGGGCAGTGGTTCTCAACCTTCCTGATTCTGTAGCCCTTTAATACAGTTCCTGTGGGTCTCGACTCACAGGTTGAGAACCACTGTTATAGGGTATTTTTTTTCTAAGTTGCCTCTGCCTGGTCCTAATGGGGTTCACTTGTCTGGGTCAGCTTTGATGATAAATCCAGATTATAACAGATTCTTAGTTTGGGAATCTGGTTTCCCAAAGGTACAGTTAATAAGCCTCACACCTACAAGTTACATAGGTCAGTATATCTTTTTTTTTTTAGACAGAATTTCACTATGTTGCCCTCAATAGAGTGCCATTGCATCACAGCTCACAGCAACCTCAAACACTTGGGATTAAGTGATTCTCTTACCTCAGCCTCTCAAGTAGCTGGGATTATAGCTGGAAAAAAAATGCCTGGCTATTTTTTGTTGTTGTTGCAGTTGTTGTTGTTTAGCAGGCCTGGACTGGGTTTATAACAAATTTACAAGACGCTCTCTCTCACCTCCCTCTGCCTGCCTTCTCTCTCTTCTGTCTTCCCCCTCACTCTTCTGTACTCTCTCTCTCTTCTCTTCCCCACTCTCTCCTTATCTCTTTCCTCCTTGGTGCTGCTCTGCAGCCTCCCTCTCCCCACCAATAAAAACTTTTCCTACAAGCAAAAAACAAAC